CCTTAAGCCTTCTTTTGTTCCGCAGATGTTTTCCTCTTTTGTTTTTTATCCGCCATCTCTATCTTTCTGTTACTCGGCTTGCTAATGTGAGCACTGAACGCTCTCTCCTCCACATCATGAGTAGACACGCCCCTTACTGCTGATTGGCTACAAGTTTGTTTTGCTAGTCAGCCGAATCAGTTTTCTAAAGCGTTTTTGAAAAATCACTTACCCCACCTTTAAGTACAGTTTCTCTTTTTCCCTGATTTCTGCTTTTTTTTTTTCCCCCTAGCTCCTCTACCCCTAGAATGCACACGTACAAGAGGACTTCCAGCCCTCGATCACCAACGAATACAGGAGAGCTTTTCACACCAGCACATGAAGAAAATGTGCGCTTCATCCATGACAGTAAGACATAAGACACCTTTTTTTTTTAGCTGAGCACCATTTTTAACTTTGGAAAAGTGTGACTTCCAGGCCTAAGAACATCACTGAAATTTACAGTTGTGCTCTGCTTTTAACTATTTCATTGGCTAGAAATGATTCTTTATGGATACAATCTTTACAATCCTTACATTTAAAAAAATCCTTAATCATGTACAACCAAATCATGTAAATTTGTTAGTTAAAAAGTGTAGGAGCCTTGTAACTAAGACTCAGGATTTCAAGACATTAATGTTGTCGTAAGGCTTTTGTGTTTTCTTTCCAGCTTGGCTTTGTGTTTTGAGAGACATTAAATCCCCACAAAATAGTGAACGTAATGATCGCGGACCACAGGAGTATGTGGAGAAAAACCCAAATCCCAACCTACATTGTAAGTTTAATTGTATGTAACAGTTTTCATCCGGACAAAGTCCATGCCGTGTTTTTTAATCCGTTTGCTTCGTTTTTTTGTCCCTTCTTTCTTGCAGCTTTTATACCAGTGGACCTGAGTGACCTTAAGAAGCGGAACACACAAGACTCCAAGAAGTCTTAGACCGTTCCCTCTATTTCTGATCCAGCCGGGGGGGTTTTTTGTCCTCCCTTTTACATTTGGGACCTTTTTACTCTATCAGTCTTCTGTTGGCCAACAAATAAGATTTGGCCACCTTAGTCCAGAAAGCTTCTCTCTTCTCTGCCTCATGGACCTGTGATCTGCACATCTATTTATGCGTTACATTTTCAAGAGCCGTTTGAGTGGCCATTCCCTGTTTTTCATGTTCATCCGGGCTCTTTTTTTATATATATATATATTTTTTTTTTTCTGTCTTTTTTTGCAGATGGGAAAATAACAAAGACCTGTTTCAGGATTTTTTTTCTTTCTTTCTTGGGTTTAGATTTTTCTTCATTTTTTGATGTGGAGATGACAAATGGGGAAGGTAAAGGACAGTGATGCTTAAACTGTTGGACAGACTCTACACAAACTTTCCCAAAAAGGGGACGCAGTCCTGGAATTTACTCCTTTTTCGAAACGCGATTCATCACCCGCCGGGGAGCGACTGACTGTTCAGTTAGTTTCATAGATTGATTGATTCATAGAAGAATTTAGCGAGTTTTGTCTGGTAGGACAGGTAAGTTTGGCTCGGCAGATATTTTTAGTAAACGTACCTCCATTTTTAACTATGAATTGATACCGTCAAGAACTTTAAGTAGACTTCCAAATCTTTCGTTCCCAGCCTTTAAAATAAAATTAAAATAAAGATTACTTTTATGTTATCTCAGACTCTCTGCATTGCATTTATCATGTTGTCTATGAGGTTGCCTGTATGTTTTTTTTTTGTATGTGTACTCTTAAAATTTAACAACGGGAATGTTTAGCAGATAAATGCATTTAAAGTTAAAACCCTTCTTTTCTGGAAATGGTTCGGAATTTTGGAGGGTGCTGTGAAAGTGAGGAAAAACTGAACATTCCGTTTTAGAGAAGAGTTCCGGTAAGTGATCATATCATGATCCCATTCTCACTGCTCTGTAGGCTTTTTGAGATGATATGATTTATATAAACACAAGTCCTTCTCAAAAGCCCTTATTAAACACATCACAAGCTTCTAATGTATGTTTATGTTTTTCAAAAATGCTGCGTATTTATGGCGGGTACGTATTTATAAGTCGATGATATTTTTTATATATAAAATGAAATTAGTTGGCTTTTTGGATGTTTCAGACATGAATGATCATGATGAGGGCAAATCAAAATAAAAATTCAGAATACTGTAAAATGTACAAAATTCATGCCTTTTGCATTTGTCCTCGGTCTAAATGTAAAGGATGTTTTCAAGTACTATTCAAAGAACACAGATATCTGTTACATTGTTATACATATATGTACATTTTTTGCCAATAAACTTTGTTGAAAGCATAGTTCACGCATAGAAATGGTACATATACAAGCCTTAAGCAAATACATTAAAGATTAAAGTAAGACTAAAAGAGAATAGGGTAGGCCTATAACTTGGTTACCTGTATTCTTTGCAAATAGTCTTGATTAATTTGTATTACTATAATATAAAGCTAATGGTTATTTTCTTTTATAAAAAATAATGACATTAACTTTTAATATTTTTAAGAAAATGTACAACGCTCAGTATCTCACTGTTATGAAATAAACGCTGCATTCTCGAGTCTCGACTTGAGGAATTTAAACCGGAAGCGTTCGTCTCACCGACGTGCGTCGTGAGAGTTCCCGCTATAAATATGGCGCCGGCGGTTGCTCGTCGTTTCCGCTTTTGTTTGTGAGCGAGCGGTAGCGCTTCATACGAGCTGGGTTTGTTTTTAGTTAACGGCAGTGTTTAGCGTTAACAAAGGCCAGACGATGGCAGACAAGATGGATATGTCCTTAGACGATATCATCAAGCAAAACAGGCAGCGCGGGGGAGGCGGGCGCGGCGGGAGAGGAGGCCGCGGAGGCACAGGCGGCGGCCGCGGTGCTGGCGCCGGCGGGCGGCTCGGAAATACAGGCGGAGGCTTTGGAGGCCGCGGCGGGGGATCGGGCCCCATGAGGAACCGCCAGAACCTGAGCCGCGGAAGAAGCAGACCTACGCCGTACAGCAGGGTAGGAGAAAGCGGAGAAAATCACGGGCGCATCCACATGCCTGGGTGAAGCCCGTTTTTATCTTTCTAGGCTGCCAGCAAACATGGCGGCTAGCTCGCCGTACGGGCCCCTGGAGCTTCTCTGGGAATGTATTCCGGAGAAGCTGGTTAGATATATTTTGTGCATAATGTGTTCTCTCCCTAAGCCCATTGTCTTGCCATCCGTGTGAGCGACTCGAGCATCGCGGAGCGGCGCGTCTGGAGCGGCTTGTGCATCTCCTATCCTACGGTCGTCGACGCCATTTTGGAGACGGCTGATCCCTTTCATTCAGCCTAGCCTTTCTTTGTTTTCGACAACATCCAGCGCACATGCTTGTGATTTCAAAGAGTCCACCTTTTTTGTGCGAGGAAAAAAAGCCCAACTTTAAGAAGGCCTTCGTTCCTCGCTGGAGCTCGGCTTTTGTTTGGCAGGGGTTTCATGGTCTCGAATATCCTTGAAGGCAGAAATATAGTTACATAGTGTTGGAGCCGTACAGGATAAATGGACTTTGACCATCTTTTGTCCAGCGATTATGGAGATCCCCCTCGCTAATTGTTAGCTTGAGCTTAGTGAGGGTTGTATTTATATAAGCACGTCAAAATGGCGTGGGCTCAAAATGGACGCTCCAAAGCAGCTTCAGACGCCAAGCATGGACACTTCTGAAAGCCTCGTTTTAACCACCTGTTTTGGACTTTGCTGTGCTGCTCCTCTCCGGAGACCAGAGGAACATCCGTATCCACCTAACGGAGGCCTGCTGGGATTCATTTGGAGTGAACGGCAAGAGACTCTTGGGTTGCTGGTAGCTCGTTAGCTTGCTACCGAGGGGGAGGGCAGCTAAGGGAATGGTGGTGTTTACAACAACAGGCTACCCTCAGTTAACTTGTTAACCTACTCTTGTAACCGGTTATTTTGACATTATACGTATCATGCATGGTTAATCTTTTGAATGAACCCCCTGGCTTTCTTAACTTTAATTCTTGGCAGTCAAAACCGATAGGATACATTTAAGGGTGACACTTAAAAAAAAAAAGTACTATTTTGTATCAATGTTTACTTTTGTGTTTTGAGTATTTTTAATGGTACTACACAATATGCTGCCCTAAATTATGCGCCGTTTATTTTATATATAACAACGATCATTTTTATAAGTGTTTAAATTAAAATGAGTGCGGAGGTATTTTAAATCTATTTCAAATGTATAGGGTTGTGTATTCCATAGTTGTTTTGTTTTAGACTAGTTAATATGGGCTGGTTTTGTAGGTTTTACATTCTTTGTTTCCTGTTCATTTCCTGTACTGGTAATTATTTTATTTTTATTTATTTTAACCATGAAGATCACACTGTGATTAAGTCCATATGTGACCCTGGAGCACAAAAGCAGTCTTAAGTCGCTGGGGTATATTTGTAGCAATAGCCAACAATACATTGTATGGGTCAAAATTATAGATTTTTCTTTTATGCCAAAAATCATTAGGATATTAAGTAACGATCATGTTCCATGAAGATATTTTGTAAATTTCCTACCGTAAATATATAAAAACTTAATTTTTGATTAGTAATATACATTGCTAAGAACTTCATTTGGACAACTCTAAAGGCGTTGTATCTCAGCCAAATATTGTCCTATCCTAACAAACCATACATCAATGGAAAGCTTATTTATTCAGCTTTCAGATGGTCTATAAATCTCAATTTTGAAAAATTGACACTTAAGACTGGTTTTGTGGTCCAGGGTCACATTTAGCCTTTTTATGTACTCAAATCTTTCAGAGTCATCAAGGTTCGTACCATTCTGATGAAGTAAAAATTCAAAATGTAAACTTTCAACCACCAGAGGGGTTAAACTTGCCTCCACTGAGATCTAGTGAATTGCGCCCAGTAAAGTTAGAGCGTAATTCGAACCAGCTACCAGCTGTGTCCTGCATTGGTTTACTTGTTTGTAGTGATGGGGTGGGCAGGGATTGCTGGAAATCACAGTGAGCGCACTGGGTGCCCCTGGCCTTGTTGAAGCGGAGCCCCCTGCTTGCCCCAACACCCAGCCGAGTGGACTGTCAGTGACAGACTGGGGACCCGAAGTCAGCAGGTGCGTTCTCTCTCATCTGTTGCAGCCCAAGCAGCTCCCAGACAAGTGGCAGCATGACCTGTTTGACAACGGCTACAGTGCGAACGCTGGAGGAGGAGGCGGCGGCGGCGGTGGTGGAGCGGGCGTGGAAACCGGAGGAAAGCTCCTCGTGTCCAACCTTGACTTCGGCGTGTCCGATGCAGACATTCAGGTAGGTGTTACTTTAACTTGTGCAGTGAAGAGTCTTTAAAGGGTTACTCCACCCCAAAATGAAAATTGTCTTTAATCACTTACCCCCATGTCGTTCCAAACCCGTAAAAGCTTTGTTCGTCTTCAGAACACAATTTAAGATATTTTAGATGAAAACCGAGAGGCTTGTGACTGTCCCATTGACTGCAAAGTAACTTACACTGTCAAGGTCCAGAAAAGTATGAAAGGCATCGTCAGAATAGTCCATCTGCCATCAGTAACGTTATGAAGCGACGAGAATACTTTTTCTACGCGAAGAAAACAAAAATAACGACTTTATTCAACAGTTTGTCTCTCCGCATCACCGTAGCGCCATTTTGGAGATTATCCTCTGAACGCAAACGCTGTTCTGTCAGCCGCGACACAAGGATACGCTGTTTTCGTTCAAATCAAAGCGTAAATACACGTAGAAACCGTATCCTTGTGTTGCGGCTGACAGAACAGCGTTTGCGTTCAGAGGATAATCTCCAAAATGGTGCTAGTGTGCTAATGGACCTTGACAGTGTAAGTTACTTGGCAGTCAATGGGTCAGTCACAAGCCTCCTGGTTTTCATCCAAAATATCTTAAATTGCGTTCCGAAGACGAACGAAGCTTTTATGGGTTTGGAACGACATGGGGGTAAGTGATTAATGACAAAGTTTTCATTTTGGGGTGGAGTAACCCTTTAAGTATTTGATGGATTCTGGAGCTAAGGTGTGGTTTGTGCTGCAGGAACTCTTCGCCGAATTTGGCAGTTTGAAGAAAGCAGCAGTACATTACGACCGGTCAGGACGCAGCCTCGGCACTGCAGATGTGCACTTTGAGAGGAAAGCAGACGCCATGAAAGCCATGAAGCAGTACAACGGTGTTCCCCTTGATGGTATGTGTGTGTCCTTAAGAAGCTCTCAAATTATAAAAGCCTCCCAACAGGCCTGAAAGTCATTGGGAAGCCTGTTGAAGTGGTCTGGCAGCAGTTCAGTCATGTAAACATTCTCTTTCAGGTCGCCCAATGAACATTCAGCTTGTTACATCACAGATTGACGCACAGAGGCGGACTCCGATGCAGGGGTGAGGATGAATGGTTTATTTAGTTTCTTGGCTTGTTGTTCTAATGTTTGGTGTGACTGAAGTTTTTGTTCTCCTTTCTGACAGTCTAAATCGCGGCGGTGGCGGCATGAACAGAAACAGAATTGGGGGCTTTGGTGTGCAGAAAGGTCGCGGGGGACGTGGCGGTGGAGGGGCCAGAGGTCGGGGACGAGGCAGTCGAGGCGGCGGCGGCGGCAGCAAACAGCAGCTCTCTGCCGAAGAACTGGACGCCCAGCTAGACGCCTATAATGCCAGGGTGTGTTAACTAATTCAAAGATGCTTTTAAAATGTGCTTTGTTTAAAAAAAAAAAAAAAAAAAAAAAAGCTGGTAGTAATCTCCATTTTCCTTTTGTTTTTCAAACAGATGGATACCAGCTAAATACCAACATGTCAAGCTGCATTCCCTGCTGTTCCAGCATCGTTGTAATAGCTTTGAACATGTCGGCTGTTTTACACTTGCGTCTTCAGAAGTGATTTAAATTTGTGTACCGATCTTTTTCTCCTTTTAAAGTGCTCGTGTTTTTTACCTACTTTGTTTTTATTTTCGTTTTCCTTTTTGAGAAAAAACCTGGTTGAACTGTAGGATTTAAGGGATGGGCTAATCTTAACCATCCTTGTGTAGGTCATTGAAATAAAAACCTGCAGTATTTAGTAACCACATGATGTCTGCTTCCTCATTGTATATGCATTGCCTTTTTTTTTTTTTTTTTTTTTTTTATTACACATGCAGGCCCATCTATCTCTCTAAAAATAGGAGGTAATGTTCTTTTTGTAACCGAAATTGTTTTCTACAGTGAATATTTGTTTAGATATTGCAGTTAAAAATGTGGTGTTTAACCAGAGTAAGGTGGTGGGGGTGCTTGACGTGTATCAAACACAAGAAAGAGGTGCACGCTGCAAAAAGTTTGGGAACCACTGCACTAAAGAACTGCTAACTGGAGCCAATCTTTAGTTAATGTAGTATTTGTGTATAAATCTCATAGCAATAAGCACACTACTCATGTCAGCCACTAGGTGTCTGCAACTTTGTGCTTAGCTTTTATTTAAATTAATAAGTCGCTGCAATGCTTCTGTAAGAGTCTAAATGGGTGTTAAAATTATTATTATTTTTTTTTCTTGCAATACACATTTAAAAAGCTGTGTTATTTACACTTTTGGAGTGAAAGGGCCTTTACAGATGGCAAAATATTTTTTGGGGATAATAAAATAAGCCCAGGTGTCTGAAAGTAATGCAAAAGCAGCGTAATGCGTTACTTTCCACAAAAAGTAAGTAATGCAATTGGTTACTTTTTTTTTGTTGTAGTAACGCTTTATTGTAATGCATTACTTTTAAAAGTAACTTTTTCCAACAGTGGTTATAATTAGTAAGTTGAGTAGTTTTTAACTTTATGCCCCCTCTCCCGAAGCCACGCCCTTTATGAAACGTCAGCAAATCCAAAGGCTCAAAATGATTCACGCTCGTTTCTGATTGGCCAAAAGAGAGCGGGCTGCTGTCCTGAAACTTTTTCTCTTGTTTGCCGCTACAGAACTTTAAAGTCAGCATGAAAAGGAAGTTGCGATTGTCTTTTCTTCTCTACTGTGAGGTATATCCGAGTGAAACGGCATCTGAAATGAGAGGGCGGGACTTGAGTTCGTCCTTCGGGAATTGATTGGATCGTTGGAAGTTGGGGCGTTGCTAACAAAATGGAGGCAGATCTGAATGCCAGTTTGCAGTTAGTTGTGGGGGATTTCTCTCCACTGGATTCACAGCCAACACACAAGCATGAATAAATGTTTTATTTATTAAGGATGACGAGGACGATCAATGGCACGAAACATGCCTAAACAGCGCGCGCGAGAGAGAGAGAGAGACTGCCTGAATGACTGAGCAGGTCCTCCATCAGATTTTGATTAAAGATTACAAGGGCACATGAATTTAAAAAAAATAATAATGAAGTGCACGGATAAGTCATTTATAATAAACACTACAGTATTCCATAAAAAAATAAGAATTTTCCATTTTGATTTCATGGTGACTTTAAATAATAGCGTTTTATTCGGCAGATGTCTGTCACGACAAACTAGTGATGGCGAAGTGAAGCGTTCTGAACCAGTGAAGCTTTCAACACAATAGTATCGGAAAAAAGTTCATTACTCTAAGCTTTTCAACACGGTTTATGTTGTAAAAAATAAAACTGAATAACACCTTCGAAATTGCTGTTCTATTATAGCCGCTGGTTTCACATCCGGTTCTACAACTCATTCTTTGTTTAATTTTATTGTATATAAAAAAATGGTCATTGTCAAAGTCATTCATTTGTGTCGGTGTACTGGCGCTAAAATAAGTAAAATAAATTAAACATAAATTAAATCCGCGATCTGTCTATTTTAATTCTGCCTCAGTCCTGTTATTTCATAGGCAAAGTTAATTTGAGCTTGATATTTAATTTTAAAAAAAAATGCTAACGCATTATAAAGTAAAGGAAACAATGCTAACGCATTAATATAATGTAATGAAACGTCGCGGTTCGCGTTGAAGCAGTAACGTGGTGTATTACATAGATAGATAGAAACATAGAAAATGACCTATGCATTGCCATTAAAGTAAAATCACTGAACCTAAACATAGGAGCCTGATAAAAATGCTAATTTTAGAAGAACAATTTCAGACGGCACTTAGAGACGTTTTCATCTGAACTCTTCATTTCTCTCCACGAATTCTTCATTCATACCCACGTCGATCCGTTTGCGTTCGAAAAAAGAACAAGCGGTAATGCTAAAACGGCTTGCCATACTAGCGGATGTTCTTGCGCATGCGCAGACAGCGTGACGCGATCGACGGTATTCCCGGAAGTGTGTCGCTCTCTCTGGCTTCGCCGCCGCTCCCTCATCGTCGCGCCATTGAGAAGTCAGGGAAGCTTTCTCTAACCTATCGACTCGCAGTACCCGCAGGTCCACGGTAAGTTTTCACAACAGAAACACCACGAAGATCTCATACAACGCATGCAGAAAATATCATACAGCGTTTTCGCTCGCGTTGACATTTTTTTCCCGGTAGTTTTGCATCTTTTGTAGCTCTAGCAACGGCAGGTTGACAAGACAGCAAGTTGATACATGCATTTCCTGCCTGCTCCACTAACTGATTAAAAACGATTAATGAAAGTTATGGATGTATGTAATTTTATGGCTCAGACTGGAGGGTTTTGGGTCTCCAGTATCAATTTGATCACATCCTGGCCAGCCCAGTTTAGTCTTGTCTGAACATCAAAGTTTAACGATCATTTCGAAGCCTGAGGTTTTGCCTTTTTTTTTTACGAAACAGTCTTTCAGAGATTAAACTATGAGATTGTGTTTCATAAAAGAGTGCATATTTTGACAGCATATTTTCTGATCTCGTGCATGGGGAAAGTTGCAATTTAGATCCTCTTTTGAAATCATCCAAAAAGCAAGACGTGTTCCTAAAATAACCAATGAGCTGTAAAACCTGTATCAGGTCACATGCTGAAGCGGTGTCGTGACATTAGATCTTGACTTGAGAATAAAGGGCCAAGAAGTCGGAAGCAGTTTTTGAACTTGTTTTTTGAATGCAGTTCTATGCATTCGTGATTAGTGAATGTTGGGAGTCTAGCTGAAAGCGTATTTAACTTTTTTTTTTACTTCCTGCGGGAAATGATGTTCGATTAGCAGCATTAGCTTGCTAACATGAGGAGGAACTTCCTGAATCAAAGATGCAAGTTCATCTTGACTCGCGATGAAAAAATGTTTTTTTTTTTGCCAATTTGCTGTATCTATATTTTTCTTGGGTATAAACGGCGACTAAATAAATTGCACTGGTTGTAAAATTAACAAACAACGGTAGAAAAATGTGTCATGATGTAGTTTAATGAGGTAATCACCAATCATCATGATCTTCTTTTTTGTCTACCTGTGTAAATACCGGTTAATTTAATCTTGCTTCGCACCGGCTCTTAACGGAGAGCGAGGCGGAGATTAACGCAATGTTTGCCAGAGCACCGATTGAATATTAGGAAGTATTTACATAACCATCTCTTGTGTTCTCGAAGAGAGTCCTGGCTTGATTAACAAAAGAAGCCCACTGCTGAAACCCCCCGAAAAAAAAAAATCAAGGCTATTTTCATTCCTGTGTAGTGTGAGTGGCGCGATGTATTTTCTAGTTCCTTCTCTCTGAGGCCAATTTACGATTCCTACTATGGGGAAGAATTGGCTCATGAATATTAACTACGCAATAATGACGGTCGCCCTGTAAGTCTAGCTGATTGGGTGAAAGCGGAAACAGTTAGCGAATGAGCGAATTGTACTTGGAATACGTATATTAATTAGGTCACGTGATTGACCGTATCCGTAGGAGTCCCAGAAATGTCGGCAGTTAGAAATTAATATTCATGAGCTATGCCGTCGCCATAGTAACCGTGATTTCGATATCCTGAGTTTGTCAGGGCGGTGTCCCAGTGTATATACACTTTGTCCTTAAGTGTGTTGAGCAGCCATTTGCGTTACTATTTGTAAAATATTTGTCTCGTAGGTTACATCGTGAATATGTAGTTTGCTTAAAGTTTGCCGCACATACATTATTTAATTGAACTAAAAAGGACAGAAGTTGTGAGCATTTGATGGTAATGCACATGTTGCTATAATAACTATGTATGTACTGAAATTAAAGTTTTAATTTAAGTTAAATTATAAAAGTTATGATTTTATTAATTATAAACGGCTTTGAGTAGATGTTTATGGGTGCACCTGTCAATCAAACAACATGTTTTTTGTTAGTGGCGTGTGAAATACTGCCGTGATATGTTTCTTTGCAAGCAGTAACATGTTCAGATGTGAAAGAGGGAGGGTGCGGTGGCTCTGTCCTATATACTTGACCACAATTCAATATTTCAGCTCTATTATTGGAAACTGAAGGCAAAGCAGGTTGCCAGTTGACTTTATGATGTTGAAAACGTCTGTACGTGTACTTTTGCATGGCTTATGTCCAAAATTAGTCTAATTAGCCTATCTTTTTTATAAGCAGTAAGCATATATACGGGAATATGTAAAGCAAAAACAAACAGGATCTCTCTTAGTGTGTTTTGTTCATGTGTGCTTTGTCTGAATTGTATAGTTCAGCCATTTTAATGAATAATAGATTTAGATTTCCTTCATGTAGTCTTTCAGGCTGAGACGGACATCAAAGAGCTGTGATGAGAAGCCACATAAAGGTCAGGCCTGATGGGCCATCACTGATATGACCACCTCTGTAAGTGCTCCCGCGGGCGCTGGTGGCTTTTATTGACCCCAGTCAAGGTAGAAGCTACGGCTAGGCAATATAAAGTTATTTTAGGGTTTTATTTTTTTAGCCTTTTGATGATTTTCAGTACAGAAAAGGCCTAAATCTATTTCTGTATATGCCCCGAAGCAGCTTAAAATTGTGCTTTTATTTCTTCACTCAGAGTAGCCACCATCGCAACAACAAAACATTCTAGCCAAATAGATTCAATGTTTAATATTAGACCTAAAATGGTTAAAAATTACACTGTTGTTCACTAAATCAGCTTAATATTTAGTCATATCCGTTATGTACCAATATAACAATACACCGTACTAAACTGCAATATTTAATCACAAATGTTTTTGCTGAATCATTTTTTAAAGGGGTCATATGATGCGATTTCAAGTTTTCCTTTCTCTTTGGAGTGTTACAAGCTGTTCGTGAATAGATAAGATCCCTAAAGTTGCAAAGACTAAAGTCTCAAACCCAAAGAGATATTCTTTATAAAAGTTAAGACTCGTCCACACCCTCCTAAAACACCTCGTTTAAACACGCCCCCACATGTCTACGTCACTGTGTGGGAAGTATTGCATAACGCCGCTCAAATGTTCACGCAAAGAAAGAAGGCGTACTTTGATTCTCGCTGTAGTATTGTTGCTGCCGCCGTCATGTCGTGGAGACGCTGTGTGTTTCGTTGTGAAAGCGAAACTACTTTGTTTGGTTTCCAAAAGAGGACACGACTAGAAATCAGTGGTTAAGTTGTATTTACAACACTGTTCTAGAACAGTTCAACCCAAATATTCAGATGTCTGCAGCGCATTTTACGGAGGACGAGGTTTCCTGATCCTGGAAGAGTAGACTACAATGCTGGCTGTTCTGACTCACAGACACAAAGTACGTTTTCATATTTAAAGAATTTGCCACTGACGACTCAACATATGAGACGCAGTGAAGATGAATAAACCTCCACAAATTCGTGACGTGTTTTCTAAAAGTTTAAACTTTTTTAACTTTGCATGGCTTTCTATACATCTCTTCTGTGAGACGCCCGAGTGCAGCAGTCGTATTTGTTCGTCTAAAAAATGCGCTGAATATGCGTTCTGTGTGAATGGCTTGGTTTGGGTTTTAACCTAATCAAGATCTTCTCCGCATTGAGCTTCTATATTTCTCTAATATTTTGAACGAATAACGCAGCAGCGGCATGTCTCGTGGGCTAGACTAACAAAACATTCAAATGCAACAACGTCACTTACATCATTTTCACCGCATCTCGCGCGCCACTGATGACGCTCCCTGACGCACTCCTAACATTCAAATGCAAATGTTTATTTCAAATTTGACTAATATTCATTCTTTATTCATAAACACATTTCATTACACCAAATACACAAAATAATGTTCTTTTTTAGCAATGTCATATGACCCCTTTAAAAAGCTTAAACTGACAGTTTAAAATATTTGTGGAAAGGCAAGCTCAATTTCACACTCAGCACTGTAAAATGTGTGAAATTCATAATAAATCAACACTTGTGGCATTGCTGTAAAGGGATTGCATAGAGAGCATATGCACAAGCGGTTTCAGTCGTTCTGGTGAGCTACTGTCATAGCGTAGCAACAGTTTGAGGAAAATCTTGAAAAGCAAGTTAGTTGTACAATGTTAAGCATGCGGACTGGGACAGTAGCAGTGCGTTTTCCTGGAATTCACATCCACGTTTGAATACTTGCATATATTTACACCTCTGTACATTTATTAGGGGTGGGCGCTATACTGGTAAAAATGGAAAAACCAGTACAGATTCAAACGGTTGGATTTTTTATATATATATATATCATTCATACTTGAGTGTCATAAAATTCAGGCTGCAATTTCTAAACTGCAGGATGTGCTTAACATTAGGAAGTTATTAAAAGTACATTAATCTGTGAAAGAACTCAATTCTTTGAGTTCACTGTCTGACAAGTACCCTTATTTTACATGCATTTACTTTTTGATTTCTGTAGTATCTTTACTTTGAATGCTACTGTACTTAAACATACGTAGGTAAATTATTCACAATAAGATAAATAACATTAATTTAGAAAATATATAGGGTGCATTTTCATTTTATGCCAACTTTAAACCACTTTTTGTAAAATAAATTTAAATTTTTTTTTTTCGTAATCTGCTGCTTCACTTTGTTTTATTACTAACTTTTACTTGTTAGCCTCGTATTCGTTTTTACCAAGCGGCAACCTCCCGCTCTCTCTCGTGATGCCAACATGGAAGTGACTTAAACTGTAATTCGTCAACTGGCCGCTAGAGGCTGGCTGCAAAAGGGAGTCAGTCCCATAGACTCCCCATGTTAAAATGCCCAACTTTACAGCAGAAAAAAACATGTTTACAGCCTGGTTAAAAAAATTATTTTGGTTTATTTAGCTAATTTTGCCCTTCATGACAACTGTGTGGGGGGGGGTGAATTTCTTTATAACTCATCCGTTTAAATTATATTAAGCCTTAAAGTTCTGCATAATTAAGGGCGTGGCCACTTGAGTGACGGGTGAATTGCCGCTGCTGTCACCACTGTCGAGCTAGGTGGGCGCGGCTTCAGCAACTGACAGGTGGATTGCCGCTGCTGTCACCACCGTCGAGCTAGGTGGGCGTGGCTTCAGCAACCAGCTCCCGCCTTTTTGCCCATTTTCGATTATCC